AGAAAACAAACCCGTGGCGTCGGTCTTCAATGTTTGAGAAATTCTTTTCTCTCTGGTTGGACCTAGCCTTGCCTTCGAGACGCAGCTCCTCCCCCACTCTGCTCCTTCAGACTAGCCAGCATCAATTAGCAAACAGATGGAGAATCGAGCTGTAAAATGTGTGACATCATGTTTTCAGCGCTCAACTCGTCGTTAAAGTAGTGATGGCAAAGTCTGCAGCTTTTATTTCAGTCAGAGAAAATTCTGATGATTTATTCCACAACAAGCAGGAAGCCAAGAGAAATGAAGTCGAGGAGACCTAACAAACCACCACACCACGACTAATTTAAAAGCTCTCTTTCATACTTTTTTGTTCAGGTTTTTCTGCTCTAATAAAACAAAGGGATTATTGGCATGAAGGAAAATATTGAGAGAAAAATAATTGCACTGTATTTAAAACTGCTTGCAATAGAAATATTTTGTTTGGAAAATCTTTATTTAAATAACATAAATAAGAGTTTAGTGTTGGAGTAGCGGTGAAGTCTGTGGTTGGACGACAAGAGGGAAATAATGCCAGATTTTAATAATAATTTTTATGTTTCTGGTTGTAGGTGTGGACATGTGGCGGCAGCATCGAGGTCGTTCCCTGTTCAAAGATCGCCCACATCGAGCGTTTTCACAAGCCCTACATGCTGGACCTGTCGCCCGCCATGAAGAGGAACGCCCTGAGGGTCGCCGAGATCTGGATGGACGAATACAAACACAACATCAACCTGGCCTGGAATCTTCCCTTCGAGGTACGAGAGCCGCAGACAGGAAGCAACGCATGAGCGTAAAGCAAACGCCGTTTCATCAGGAGCTGCACAGCAATGACTGGCAGCCATCATTACCTGCAGTCTGACTGGATCAGGTTCGGGTTTTAATTCAAACTGTCGCCGTGAACGCCGCCGTGAGCGGCGCCGTGAACGCCGCCGTGAGCGGCGCCGTGTTCTGCTCAGTCCGCCCAGATTTTAGAATAATTTTACATTTTTTTCCCCCAAACAAAATCACGTTTTGTGTTGCCAGTTTAGAAATTTAGCTTTATTTTTTCTCACTAAATCCCATCTAAAATCTACATAAACAAGAAAAGCAAATAACAAAATAAACAGACAGATTGGCCGCATTTTTATTCCTAAAAGAACTTGAGCAGCTCGCCTCGTTGATGACGGATCGGATCTGTGGTGTTTTGGCACAAAATGTTCAATTGCTCATTTTTAATTGCAGTTGCAAAAACAAGTATAAATTGCAAAATAAATAACGTACAATATTTTAATTGAATAAGCAAAGCAGTCAAATCTCTGTAGTTCTTTGCTGGATAAAAAAAATATCCTAAATTTTTAAAATCGTTTTCTGGAAATGTTCCATTTTATACAGAATTATTTTTTTAAATTAAATTAAAATAATTGAATTATTTGCTTCTTTGCATCTGTTAATGTACTTTTAGTAATCTGTAAAATAGATTTAAGGGGATGAATAAAAAATATGCAGACCATGCCAATTTTTTTGATCCGATTAATTGTGAAAATAATTGATTAGTAATCGATAGTCGCAGCCTGACGTGCTGATTGCAGGTTTGTGTTTTACTTTAAAACGGTTTGGATTGCAGTGAGGGAAGATTTCAGGCAGATGGATCCGTTTTGTTTCTGTGCAGAATCACGGTATCGACATCGGAGACGTTTCTGAGAGGAAGAAACTGAGAGAACGACTGAACTGCAAACCGTTCAAATGGTACCTGGACAACGTTTACCCCAAACTGGACCCCTGGGACAACCTGCTGGCTTACGGCGCGGTAAGCAGCTGCTGCTCTCCGCTGGCAGGACGGAGCCCGGCGTCTTCCTCACCCTCCTCTTCCTCTCTTGACAGCTGAAGAACCTGGACTCTGAGTTGTGCATCGACCAAGGTCCGGTCCCCGGCGACACGCCCATTTCCTTCGACTGCCATTACTACGGACCGCAGGTAAGAGAAGCGGTCGGTACCGGCCCAAATGGCGCTGTGGAAAAGTATTCAGTCCCTTACAGATTTTCTTTTTGTTGCATTTAAATTTTTCAGATCAGTGAATAAACTTTAACACCAAAAAACAGAATCAGAGTAAAAACAAACATCAGGTTTTTATTAAATGCTATCAAAGTCTTGATCTTCAAGCTGTTTCTGGTAAATATGAGGCGAGTTTTTCTGTTCCTTTGGGTCAGCCGTGGTTCTGGTCCTATGGAGTCCTATGACCTTTGACCTTAACAGACAGTGAGGCCTGCAGAGCTTCAGATTCAGAACTTTAGTCACCTAAAACGTTTTTACTTCCATTTCAGTTTCTTCTTCTGAAAACATTCAAAGAGTTTTAAAAAACATTTTTTCTAATGAAATGTTTCTTTTTGGTGTCTGGAAGTGAGTCCTTTCAAAAACATCTAGAACGTAACATCACATATCAACAGGTACTGCCCTGTTACCTACCAACCCCAGGAAGTTCCAGCAGGTTTGTTCAGCTGGTTTTACCACCATATGTGCTGTACAACGGCTGCTGGAAAAGACAGGAGTTTGTTGTTGACTCACCATCCAGAAACCACTTGCTGCATTCTGGTTGAATGTGCAGGAGACGTCACTTCTGCTTTGTATGACTGCTCATCTGTTTGCAGCCAACCTAACCCTAACCCTGAATCGGGGGCGTGGCCAGCAGGAGCTTATTTGGATTTAAAGTGACAGGCCCTTAAACAGCTCAAAATAGGCAGAACGGAGAAAGTAAAATCTGATTGTCTAAGAATGACTTGTTAACCGATCCTAACCGTAGACGGCGGCGGCCATCTTTACAGAGCGCCGCACGGTGACGCCTACGTTCTTCCTGCGGGTCGAAAATCATTCAGTCGCATTTAATTAGCAGCATGAACAATGCAAGAAAGAAAAGTGGTTTATTGTTTCACAGTGTTGTAAGGCACACTTTAATAATTGTATTATTTCAGAACCATATCTGATTTTGTCTAATAAAATTAGTTTGATGATCTGAAACATTTAACTGTGAGGAAAAGGACAGGAATGTGGGAGGAAACAGTTTTTTCTCCGTCTCCTGTCTCTACTCCAGATGGCCTATTACCGTGAAACTGGTGAGATGTACATCGGCGGCATCAAGTCCCACAAGTACAACGACAACCGCTGTCTGACCGACAGAGGGGAGAAGAAAACCGAGCCGGTCTGTTCAACTGCAAAGAGGCCATGCAGAAAGGAATGGGGATATACTGGGACTTCACCCAGGTTGGACCTCAGAACCAGTTCAGACTTACTGCACGGCTCAAAAGTAAACCAAGTTTTATTGCCTTTGACCCTTTTTTAATTGTGTTCCAGGGAAAACAGCTGAAGAACCGTCAGACGAAGCGCTGCCTGGAAATGGTGAACAGGGTTCTGGTGATCCAGGACTGCAGCGGCCAGCGGTGGAAGATCCAAAACGTCATTAAAGACTTTTAAACCCACCTGAGCTGCAGCGAACGGGTCACTAAAGCTCTATGCATGAAGAAAATAAAAAATACGTTTTATGAATTTATTTTACTGAAATTAAATGAAATCATTTTGTAAATAGATGAAGGGAGATTAAATATTTATTTTGTTTTCATATCAATAATGTGAGCATATAAAACCCAACAAATGTCCATTTGCAGCCTCTGAAGCTTTTCTTCGTTTAGCTGCTGGTTTTTTAACAGACTGAAGGTTTCGGCTGGTTTTCTCTGCAGCTCTGCGAGGGTCTGAGGGTCTTTTGTTACAAAATGCTGTTAAAAAAACACTGATTAGAGAAGTTAAAGGTGAAAAAGTTCTTGTTTTGTTCCCTGAGATGATGATGAATAAGAAATCTGGCATGTTTGGTTCAAATAACCTTCGTTACTATGAGAAACTTCATTTGGATTTATGTTTATTAAAGCTGCCCGTGACCAGGATTATTTAAATGTCTTCATGTGTTTTGGGGTTTTGTCATATTAAAAAATAAATTTAAAAGTGTAAAGTTGATTCATGGTTCTATTAGTTTTGGGTTTTTCTTGTGTTGCTGCAGCTGCGGTTCAAAAATATATTTTCATTCTGTGTGAAAATAAAACTTTAAAAGTGAGTTTGTTCATTTTATTACTAAAGTCGAGTTACATTTTGGTTTCATGACAACAGGAGTGAAAAAGGTTTTTCACAAACTTCAGTCATTATGATAGTTAAATTGACTATTTTACATGTTTAAAATGCTTTAAAGAATTATTACTTTTCAAAAAAACTAAAATTCCGAAGGTCAGACACATTTAAAAAAACTTTAAAAAGTAGGAAGTTCTGCTATCAATATTGAAATATCAATGCACATTTCATGAAGTTACAACTTAAAGTTTTGAGAAATTGGCCTTTTTTGTGCGAAATGTGACCAAAAAGCTGCAAATTCAGAGATTTTCTTTGAAATTTTTTTACTTTATATAATTAGAAAATATTGAATCAAATATTGGAAAGTGGATATTTTTCTCCCAACTTTAAGACTTTCATATCAGAAGTTTGAGATTCATTTAACTTATTTTCCTGAAATAGAAAATTATGTTTTAATTCCACAAATCTGAATTTTAACTTCAGAAAAATTAACTGTTTTTTGTTTTCTTGACTTTTTAAAATTAATCTCAATCTGAAGATTATTGCCTGTTAAAATGTGTTTTAAGATCATCTGATGGAACAAAGGAAGTAGGATTTCCAAAGTAAAACAGTAAAATATGGGCAGAGAAAATGGGCAGAGAAAATAGTTGTGAAATTTTTAGAGTTAAAATTTTTTTATGAATAAATAGAATAATATTGTTTTTTTTTTTCTTCCCAGACCTGAAGCTGAATCTTTTCTCTGGAAGTTTTGAATGCTTTAAACTGTCTGTCCTCTGAGTTCAGGTTTGCCCCTCACAACATGGCGGACGCCTGTCCGGATACAACGCAGCGGCTGCGAATCTGTGGTTACCTAGCAACCGTATTGTTTTCACTGACAGACAGGAAGCTGAAGGTGAAGCTGAAGGTGAAGGTGAAGCTGAAGGTGAAGCTGAAGGTGAAGCTGAGATGTTTCAGGTGGAGTTGCCTCGCGAGCGGAAGGCCAGAGAGAGCGCGGAGCGCCGCCAGAACTACGAGGCGGAAAGACGCCACAGGATCTTTAATGAGAAGTTCAGAACCATCGGGGTGAGTTTCTGCTGCAGCAGAGGATCCAGCGGAACCAGCGCGGAACTCAGGCCGTTTCCTGGCTTCCTGCCCAGGGCAGAGAGTCCAGGGGCGCCACAGGCAACAAAATCATCTCAGGAGTCTTTGAGTTGAATCAAAACTCCTTATTTCATGAGAAATTAAAAGGAAATCTAACTTTAAATTTTAAATCGTCGCCATTTGATCATGTAGTTCAAGATTGTTTTATATCTCAGTGCGCTTTGAGATATGTGAAGCGTCGTTTTTTCAATATTTATAGTATTAGACTCACCTTAGATTCAAATCAATAATCTCAGGAACTTTGGAAGCTTTGTTGTACGTCAGTGAAAAACACTATGGATGTTTCTGAGGGAAGTCCAATGTGTGATGATCCACTGATCTGCTTCACAGGTGGATAAAGAAGCTTTAGATCGGCAGGTGATCGAGAAGCTGAAACGAAAATCAGAATTAAAAAATCAAGAAGACGCTCAGCGTGAGTAAATGAGCAGCTTCAGTCTTTAAAGCTGCAGCATTTAAATTATTAAATAGATTTTGCATGTTTGTCAAACCTGTCTCTATATTGTGGCGGTTCTATGAGACATAATCTGAAAAATTTGATTATCATGCCTCTGTGTACTGCTCCTGTGTTTCTCCGCCATTAGAACATTCAGCAACACATACACAGGAATGATTGACAGCACTGAGGCCCGGCTCCAGGCTCTGATTGGTTGTTTTTGGTTGGAGTGGTGCATTTCTTCAGACTATCTGGTTACAGATGGCTGATGTGGACTTAATAATTTAACAATACTATTGATGACGATAAAAATGACGTTAAAACTATTCCTTATTTCCATTACATCAAACATAAATATTGTTCTTGAAAAGCTCCTGTTTGAAAGACGCTTCTCCTCATAGTGTGGTTGATGTCACTAACTGCAAACATTTAATCAGATTTTCAAATTTACTGATATTTATTAATATTGGTAAATATCAAAAAATGGAACAAAAAGCAAAGAAAATAAAATGAACATCTCTGATCATAATGTCACTTGTTTTTTATGTATTTATCATAACTGCCATTTAACATGACAGTGATAAATCAGAATTATTATCATGATTAATTATTCACAGTAAATTAATTCCCATCTGTCTCAGAATCAGCTGTCATGACATGGTGACGGTTTTAACAATTATGCAGAGTCAGAGTTATTACAGCTTTAATTGGAGCATATTTATGATTAAATCATGACAGTAACTTTACGTGACGTTTTTGTTTCTAAACAGATGCTGAAGTGCAGCAGTACAACCGAGCAGCGGGCCTCCTCCAGAGGCGGCACGAGAAGGCGGACCGCTCGGCGCACCAGGCCCGAGCCGCCTTCTGGCACCAGAACCAGAATCCTCAGAGCCGCCGCGAGTTCGACCTCAACGACCCGGACGCCCTGAAGAAAACCGAGTCCCAGATGGTTCTGCCGGGCCTGCTGGGCGAGGACCCGCAGTCCGGCAGCCGGCAGCAGAGGCAGCAGGAGCAGCTGAGGGACTGGCTGCTGCAGCAGCAGAACGAGCTGCAGCAGAAACGGCTGAAGCAGAAGCTCGACGGTGAGCGGGCTTTAAGCTGCCGGACGCAGCTTTCAGAAACCAAACATGCTTTTACAGATTTTTCAAACGTTGGTCATGCCTGGACTGTTTAATAGAGACAGATAATCTGTGGAAAGAAACATCTCTCCTGAGCCACGGCCATCAGAGCCAGAAGGAGGGGCTTAGTGCTGTCAATCAAACATATACGCGCTGCTAAATGTACTAATGATGGAGAAACAATTCACTGTTTCAGGAAAACTGTTTATCTGGTGTCATTGATGGATGCGTTACTAGCCTAGCATTAGCTAAGCTCTGCTCTGCTGCTGCAAAACAGAGGAGCCACAGTGGGAACAGCGGCACACTACTCTGCAAGTCACAATTATCGGCAATAGCGTTGGAACATAAATGATCAACAATGCGTTTGGCAACAGCATCATCATCATAATAATAATAGTGTCACAATATTCTGCAACGGCATCAAAATACGTTTGGCTGCAGCTCTGCAACTTTCAGCAACAATGTTTCACTATTGAGGAGCAGCGTTGTACTATTCTGAGACATGAATTTGATTGACAGCGCTAAGACCCGCCTCCTCACTATCTGTCTTATACTGATAGTGACAAATTCAACAAATATGTAGTAAAATATTATTTGTAAAAGTTTACATCCTGTAGCTTTAAATTGTGCATCAATGCGGCGGAGTTGACGGTTCTGTTCGTCCGTTAGAGATGCTCGACGACCAGTACAGACAGGAAGTAGGCCGCAGAGCGATGGAGCTCCAGAACCTGGAGATGGCGAAGAGAAAAGCCGACCTCAATCGACGACGCAAACTACAACGTAGCAAAGGTGGAAACGATTAACTGTGATGATCGAATATTGACATGATGATCAACTCATTTAGTAATCGATTAATCGTTAACTGGAGCAATACAGACTCTAAAATCGTCCGTTTTCTGAAATAAAAACAGTCAGAGCAGGAATGAGCCAAACCTGTACTAAACTATAAACATCTTGCATGGAAGATTAAAAACTTATTTTTCTATAAATCTGTTCTTCCTGCAGTTTCAGCTTTAAAAAATCTAAAATTAGTCACTTTTCATCCTTTAATGTTTTCCTTATTCTGTGTGAAAGACTTTATTGCTAATTTAAAAATGTCCAAAATGTGCATTAAGATAAACTGATTAGTGAAATAATCATGATTCAATCATTCAGCCACTTGAGCTTGTTTATAAATTCAAATACATTAAGAAAATGCTAACAAACAAATAATTACAATCCTTTGTAACTAGGAAATACATATTTTATTGCCTTAAATGTAATAACAGCGTCCTTTAGTGAAAGTTTGGTCGTTTGTAGCAAAGGATTCATCTGCAGAAAAAACATCAACATGTGAAAAGTTCAGTCCTTTCTGCTGAACTGAAAATCGATACAGAACTGATCTGATGATTATATTTTATTAGTAATTGGATGGGAAAAGGTGCATAATGTGAGATTTTTACAGAATTTGAACCAGGTGGAGCTAAAACTGCTACTTGAGGATTTTTCCATCTTAAATGTGTAAAGTTTTGTTTGAAAGGTTCAGTCACTTCTTTATTTTCTGTTTTTGTCAACAAGCTTGTGGAGAAAACGAACCGGGAACGGGAGCAGCGTGAGGACATCGCGCTGAGCGCCCTGAGCATCCCCCCCTCTATCCCGGCGCCAACAGGAAGGATCCTGCAGAGACGCAGCAGCAGGTCACCCAGTTCCAGCTGCAGCAGGTTCTGGAGAGGAAGGTAGGAACCCGATCCGGATCCTTTCCAGACGCGTCTCTGACCCAGAGTACGGTCGCACTGGCCCACGTTTCCACTTCCTAAGGTTTGGATCCGATAACGATGAATTAAAACCTTGCTTTGGTCTTAACGAGCCGTTTTTTGAAGAATAATATTGTTTACAGAAACTTCATAATTCACATCTTGGATGTTTTGAAATGTTTTCTAGTTCCAGTGTTAAATGTTCATTAGAATTTAAAGTTTATTGTTGCATTATTGTGTCATTTCCATTAGATTTCTGCAAAATGGTCCCAAAACAACATTATCATTTATCGCAATAACTTCTGGAATAATTTATCGTACTGAAAAACTAGTTATTGTGACAGGCAAGAGGCAATGTTATGTAAAATCTACATTTTTTTTTTTAGCTTCACGTCAAATTTGTATGTTTTTCCCCCAAACCTCGAGTGTTGCTTTGATTCTTTACTCTACATGGCAACCAACTAGCTGTTCAAAAGGCCTCAGTGGACCTCGTCCCGCCGTCGAGGTGCAGCTCCTCCCCCACCCAGCTCCTTCAGACTAGCCAGCAGCAATTAGCAAACAGCTGCTGATCTCCTTATAGGAGCTGCTGCTCAGAGCAACGCTGGTAAAAACATTAAAGGGTTAATTCAGGAGCCATGTTGTGATGACTTCCTGGAGGCGGAGCTTCAGAAGGAGCAGGAGTTTCTTAAAGAGACAGAGGAACCAATTTCAAGGGCTCTGGTCTCTGTGTTAAATAAAAAAGTCACATTTTTATAAGAGCTGAAGGTAACAGTTTGATTGTGGCTCTGTGTGCCTGGAAAACACGATTCTACCCCTTTGACATGGTGTGGGTGCGTCTGCTGCAGAGGCTGGAGATGGAGAGGAAGCAGAGGGAGGAGGACCAGGACCGGCTCCTGCTGGACTCGGCCCGCAGCGCCATGATGCTGGAGCGGCTGCAGGAGAAGCAGAACAAGCAGCTGAGGAAACACATGGACAGCGTCAACGCCCAGCTGGCCCACATCCGGCTGCAGGAGTCAGTGGCGTCCGCAGAGCCGTGAGCAGCGCCGTGAGCAGCGCCTCCTCACCGCAGACTGACGCTTTGCTCTCGTCTCGTTTCCAGGAGTCCAGACCTGAAGAGGGGGCGAATCGACGACAGCTTCTTCACCCAGTTCAACACCTGCACCAGATGACGCACGACGACGTCACAGCGCCGCGGCGCCATCAAACATTAAACTGAAATAAACCATTCCCAGTTTATTTTCACACCAGAACAAAATGTTTAAATCAACTTTACTGCTTTGCATTCAAATAGTTAAACTATTGACAAAATGAGCAACAGAAAAACAGCAAAGATATTTATAGTTTTTAATTTGTTCTTCAAACATCAGATGGAGAAAAAATGTTCTAGTGATTCAGCTTTCCAGAGTTCCTCTGATTATTCATGGAGAATCTTTGGAAAAGCCAGAATAACGTCTGATACTCCAACAATAATCATTCATGACCGAAGCGGAAAAACCCGAATACTGAAGAGGTTAAAGGAGAAATCAGCAGCGGCTGCAACCAATCAGCTCATGTTGACCCTGTATAAGGGAATGGTGAAGACAGACACGGGAAACAGACACGGACACGACGTTACTTCTTTCACTTCCAGTGTTGTAATGGAGGAACAGAAGTAACGCGTTCCACTACCCCGAGTCAGACCAGACCAATCGAGACACGATCAGTAAACAGACAAAACTAATCGAGGCACAATCTGTAAATAAACTCTCAAAATTTTGGATTTCTTATTAATAACATGAAATGCGTATTATTCATATTAATAACATTAAATGCGTATTATTCATATTAATAACATGAAATGCGTATTATTCATATTAATAACATTAAATGCGCATTATACCCTACAACACTCACAGCATGAGAAATCAATCATTAAAGATTCACCCCGTACAAAATCTATGCTTTGCTTTTTTCTTTTAATAAAAGTGTTTCCTGAAACTGCTAATTTCATTACAATTTGTATTTAGTTTTTAAACTTTACCACTATAAGAAATTTCTGAGGTTTAAAAACTATTTTTAAAGGCGAAACACACAGACATGACACAAAATGATTAGTTTTTGAAATCCAATTTTGACCCATAATCCATTTTATTTCTTTTTCATTTGTTTATTTTGATATTTAAAAGTTTCTGTGTTAAATGTTAAGAAATGTTAGTTTTTCTTACATTTGAGAGGCTGCACTTGCATTAACATGCCATTATTACTCTGATAGTTGAAAATGGTTTCAAAATAACATTAGCATTTATTTCTATTAACTGGAAAATTTGTTTTTGACAAGAGATTCTCAGACCTAATTGATCAGAATAATTGTTTGTCCCCTAAATAATCATTAGCTGCAGCACTTGTGCCAATCCAGGAATCAGATAATCAATAGTTTCACATTTTCTATTGAAAATAATCAATGTTTCCCCTGATTTAAACGAAGCAGCAGCTATTTGGGTTTATTTCTGTAACGATAAAAGGATGAATGTGTCGAGGATCATCGGTTTCAGTGGCACAACTGGAAAAAGTTCAATGTGACAGAAAAACGTTCTCGCTCTTCAGTTTTCAGCCACGAACTCGCTCCATCTTCTCTGCCACAGAACCAGCGCCTCTTCCTGCTGCTTCGCAGTCAAAGAGCTGAACCTGAAACAGAGACGGGAAAGTTCAGACCGGAACCGGCAGGCCAAGTGGGAACCGACCGGGCGGAGCGCCACCTGATGGAGTTCACGGCCAGCTGCTTCAGGGAGCCGATGTGGGACTTCAAACCGCCGAAACCCACAAACGCCTCGTAGAAGTCGAAGGAGAGCGCGCAGGAGCCGAACATGGCCGGGTCGTCGGAGCTGATGACCAGCGGGTGATTCTCCATCATCAGAGCGGCGGCGGGGTGATTCCGCAGATCCTTAACCAGCTTCAGCACCTGGAGGGGTCAGAGGTCACAGCGGTCAATGACAGTAATTCAATTAACTGGACATGAAAGGCATGAAATAACGAGACATGTCTGGAAGCCCATTTCTGCCATGAGAGCAAAAATAAAAGCCAATCAGGAAGTCAGAATTTAGAGTTAAAGTCATAATCACAACAATTACAGCAATAAGTCATAGTTACACATTTTAACTAATCATAGTTACAATTTACTAGAATTAAACTCATAATTATGAAAACAAAATTCATACCTATGCCAATAAAACTCATGATTTCAAGTTTAAAAGTCATAATTACAAGAATTAGTATTATGATTTTTATTCTCATAATTACAAGAATAAGTTTTATTATCGTAGTTCTGACTTAAATAATCCAACGTCAAAATTCCCGATGGTTTTTGTGGAATTAGGTATGAAAATGTATCAATTTCCCAAAGTAATTAATGTTTCTGTTCACAGCCTAACCCTTTCCCTAACCCTGACCCTAACCCTAACCCTAACACTAACCCTGACCCTAACCCTGACCCGTACCCTTACCCTAGTCCTGACCCTAACACTGACCCTAGTCCTGACCCGTACCCTGACCCTAACACTCCATCCTAAACCCTCCATCCTACCCTGACCTGAAATCTGATGACAAAGATACTAAATCCGCCTGAAAGAAAAGATTATACATCAATAAGCTTCTAATATTTTTTCTGTAATCTCAGAAACAAATGTAATTAATTTAAATAACTCCGTTTAAAGAGAACTTTATATAAATTCATTACATGCAGAGATTTAAGGTATAATTTATTTGTTTATATGACGTTTAAAGGGCCTGATGCTTTAATTTTCTGACAGACTGAATTTTTTATTTTATCAAATCCTTCAGCATCAAATGTAGTAATTCTGTTCTAAAACTGGATTTCAGTACTAAATTAATCTGAAATGGTAATGTGACGTAAAGAGATGCATTGTGGGAGATGTTACCTGGTTGGAGATGGGGCACACCTCCACAGCCACGCCCCTCTTCCTGGACAGATCTTTGGCCACTGGGTGGCGCTGCAGTGCAAACCCGTGGCCGATACGCGACGTGTTGAGCAGCAGAGCGTCCAGCAGGTTCTGGTCCACTTCAGTTCCCTCAACGTCTGCTCACAGCACAAAACTATTTCAGTTCCTTCTGCTCTAAATAATAATAAATAATTACCGTAATCTGGACCTGAAGAAACATTCACTCTGAACTTACTGAATTATTTAAGAAGAATCCAAACTCAATTACATAAAATATTCTTCCAAGTATTTTAATTGCTGCATTTCTTTTTAAATTAAACTTAGTTTTAAAAGCATCAGGTTTTATTTTCCACTCTGTTTTAAACAGCTCAGGTTTATATAACATCTGCAGGTCAGATTAATTACTGTTTATTCAGCAGAAATGAAGTCATAAACCAACCAGCTTCTGAAAGGAACTTCTTCTCATTTCAGCCACGTCTCACATCATTAATAACTATTAATATTGGATAAGAGAGAAAAATAAAAGCAGTTTTCAGTCCTAAAAGAAAAAAGCTCCAAACCAACTGAACACATAATCAGCTCGATAAATCATGAAATAACTCATTATTAAGAGCAAGCTGATTATTTAGTTATAAAACTAAACCTTCATTTCAGGACTAAATATTTTTGCTATTAAATATTTTGCTCTACAAACTAAAACAGCTGTGAGCTAAATATGTAGTTGACGAGAAAATCATTTAGCTTTAAATTAAACATTTAGCAAAAGGCTCAGCTTCCTCTGCTAACTGAAATTGCAGCTAAATATGTAGCTTAAATATTTAGCTACAAACTCAATATTTATGTTGAAATTAACATTTAAAAGTGAATGAACAACATGGTGAAAATATGAGAGAATTTAACCCCCATTTGTTTTGCTCTGTGAAAACAGAATAACCAAAACTATTGCTGTTCATTTTTGACTTGTAACAAACTTTATGCCCGTAATTTAGAAAACAAAGAAGGAGAGTGTGGAAATACTTTTTGCACCACAGTAGTTGTGACATCAATTTGCTCGTCTAAGGAACTGAACTTATAAAAATAAAGCAACATTTATAAGCTGGGTTAAATGGCCCAGTTTTCCGGTCGAGACTCACCCGTCTCTCCGGCATGGAAGAAGTACGGCAGCGCGACGCCTTTCTCTGCAGGCAGCGTCAAGGCATCCCTGAAGTACCACAGCGTCCGGCCTTGGTCCTCCCGGCCCACCTGGACATGCAGAGGTTACAGAACCAGAACCAGGAGCTTCATACTCAGCAGTTCCTGTTGGACCTCACCAGGTCAAAACCGGCCAGGAAGTCGGGAAAGTCCTTCTTCAGGTGCATCGCCTCCTTCACAGCTGCAGCTACCACCGACAGTTTAGCGTGCCTAAAGAGCGAAACACGATCAGCGAAGCAGCAAACACTCTGACCTCTGACCCCTCAGACAAGGCTACAGAATATGGAAAATAACATATTCAATAATTATTACTTCTATTTAGCTTAAATGCTAAAATCATACCAATTGAATTTAGCCATAGGTGAAAAAATGTATCATGAGTTAATAAATAATTCTACCAAAAACTAAATGATAAAAGTCTCCAGGCTGCTTCGGTCTCTACTTTCTATTTTTACTTGTTGTTTTGTTCATTTATTTGGGATTTTTAAAATGTCTTGCAGTTCCAGTGTCAAATGTTCATTAGAATTTGAAGTTTATTGATTTATAATTATCCTTATATTACAGAAAAACAATATTATTGTTTATTGCAGTAACTTCTGTCTGGAACAATTTATCGTCCGACATTCGCTACCTACAGGCTGCTGTGCTGGACAACTTTGAAGACTTGCAGAGAAAAGTTCCAGTGCCTGGTTCTGGACCTGATGGGTCGAATCTGATTGGTTCAGACTCACCTGTGGTTGGTGAAGATGATTCTGGCTCCGTAGAAGTCTGGGTGAGTGGAGACGAACTGCTTGGTGAGGTCCTGGTAGGCCTGCAGGGTCCAGGCCCGGTCGTGGCTGCTGCCGTCCAGCTCGTACAGCTGCAGGTGAAACACCTGGTTAACACCTGGCTAACACCTGGCTAACTCCTGGCTAACTCCTGGCTAACACCTGGCTAACTCCTGGCTAACACCTGGCTAACACCTGGCTAACTCCTGGCTAACTCCTGGCTAACACCTGGCTAACTCCTGGCTAACTCCTGGCTAACACCTGGCTAACACCTGGCTAACTCCTGGCTAACTCCTGGCTAACACCTGGCTAACTCCTGGCTAACCTGGCTAATACCTGTCTAACACCTGGCTAACCCCTGGCTAACACCTGGCTAATACCTGTCTAACACCTGGCTAACTCCTGGCTAACACCTGGCTAATACCTGTCTAACTCCTGGCTAACTCCTGGCTAACTCCTGGCTAACTCCTGGCTAACTCCTGGCTAATACCTGGCTAACTCCTGGCTAATACCTGGCTAACTCCTGGCTAACACCTGGCTAACTCCTGGCTAACACCTGGCTAACTCCTGGCTAATACCTGGCTAACTCCTGGCTAACTCCTGGCTAACACCTGGCTAACTCCTGGCTAACTCCTGGCTAACACCTGGCTAACTCCTGGCTAACTCCTGGCTAATACCTGGCTAACTCCTGGCTAACTCCTGGCTAACACCTGGCTAACTCCTGGCTAACTCCTGGCTAATACCTGGCTAACACCTGGCTAACTCCTGGCTAACTCCTGGCTAACTCCTGGCTAACTCCTGGCTAACTCCTGACGGAGTGAGTCGCCATCATGGCCGGTCGGTTCGAACCTGAGGCAGGAGCGCACGCAGCTCCAGGTACATGACATTGTCTGCGTAGAATTGGTTCAGAGCCTCGATGTAGTAATCCCTGAAGACGGGGGCAAAGGTCACCAGCCCCCACAAGGCCCAAAGGCCGCCTCAAAGCGGTTCCAGACCACATCCTGGCTGGGGAACTCTTTCTCTGGATCCCGGTCCGTAAACAGCGTCAGGTTACCTCTGATGCTGAGGAGGAGAACGATGAAGAGTCACCAGAGCAAAGGTCCAACTGGTCTACGATCCGATTTGCAGCTGGAATAACTAGAATATTAATGAATATTAACTAATCCAGAATCTCCAGAATATAGTTTTATGACAAAAACATCAATTTCAGAAAATTTTACTTGGACTGGACAGCTGTCCTGTTTAAATGTCTTAAATGACTATTAATAATCAATACAGTTTGTACAGGAAACTGATTGGTTCTTAGTTCTTCAGCTTGTTTCATAATTGATGATCGTACAATGTTTTTATGAAGTAAAGAAATTGTGAAATGTTCCAAACAGATAAGCCTGAAAATATGAAAATAAATGTTAAATGGTTTTTAAATTAGTAAAATTTTATTGCCAAATTCAGCAGGAATCCTAAAGCCAGTAAAAATAAAACTAAACTAAAAATATTACACATTATTTCTTTCTAAGAAATGATCAACAATCGGATATAAAAATAAAAATGATAAAACTAATTAAATGTGTAAAAGTCCTTACAATAAATGGAGCAGCATGAACTTAACTGTGAAGTTTAACTTTTCATTTATCCAACTGAAAAGTTAAAAAAAACTATTTCTACCCCACTAGGTGGCGCTAAACTGACAACTCCCAAAGATTTCTGAAAAGTAAACATAAGTGCAGCATTTTATAGCTGTAGAAACTTTAATTAGTGACCTGACTTCCTGCTCAAACACATTTGCATCCAAATTCTCTTACAACCTCCTAATAACGGGAAAGACAGGCAAACATGCTGTTCAAGTCAGAAAATGTTTGCTAAACTTCATCAGTAGTTGACTGTTCAGTCATCAGAGCATTAATAAAACAGCTGCAGCCTCCACCATGCGCCGCCAGGACGTGAAAGAGAGACGCCTGGTGGTGGGAGTCAGTACTGCAAGTTGTTTCTATCAAACATGCAGTTCAGATTGTGAGCGTCAAGCAGATTCTTCTTACATTGAGACTTCTGCAACGCTTGTTGCTCACACTCTGTTAAAGCATGGTGGAGGACCTGTGGTGCTGCGGGTCCCTTTTGTTTCTACAAACCTTGTTTAGAAAACCTGTTTTCAATATCAGTACAGAACTACAACAGAATATGCAGCAGCAAATGAAGGATTTCAGAAAGATACTTTTGCCACTACTTGTTTATTTCTGTTATCTGACCTCCAAACTTTTGTGTTACAGCTGAAGATTTTAGGCCATTTCTATGGAAAAATGTCTGAAGCTAAAAAACTAGAAATAATTTATAGGTTTTGCATGAAATGTGTTGGAAGTGAGCCACCTGTTGTCCAGGTCGGTTGCGTTGCCCGCCTCGGAGCGGAGGCTCTCCAGCAGGACCCAGGCGGAGCAGCGCTCCAGAGGTTTGGGCCCCTGTGACGCGAAGACGAAGCGGACGGACGCGCTGTCGGTGAAGCACATGTAGCAGTGCGGGCGATACGTGGCGTTCTTCACCAGCCACTCCACGTCCACCATGGCGAAGTCATGGACGTGAAGGACGCCGCCTGCCAGGATGGATTAACCATTAATTAAACAGATTTTTTCATGTTATTTTTATATGCACACATATATTGGTTGTTGAACTGACTTTTGAGAGAAGGGGTGGATCATACAAGATTGTTTTCTTCAAATGATTCTCAGGCAAAATTTTTGTTTATGTTAATTTTAAACCGTGAATGAATTAAATAAAACACATAAAAAGTTTCTTTCTGTTTTGTCGTCAGTTTCAGCTGAAAGGAAGAAACAATATTAATCGAACTATTGGTAGAACTGTTCCTCTCATGCTGCTGGAGGATCCAAACTTAAACTCCCTTCTGACTTTTTGTATCCAATTAATTTTTACTGAAGCACATAAACATCCTTTCCAGGTCAAAGTGAACAATCACAATTTCCTGACTAAAACTCCACAAACAGCATAATTATTCTCCTAAACCTGGCTCAACCTGGTGCTGAGCCTGGTTCTGGTCCTGGTTCTGCTTCTGCTGGAGGGTTTTTCCTGTTAAAGGGGAGTTTTTCCTCTCCACTGTCACCTCATGCATGCTTGGCATGAGGGATTTCTGGATGCTGCAAGTCAACGACGATCTGCTGCTGGGTTTCCTGACACAAACTTTTTAAATGAATTTGAATAAAAACTGAACTAATTTTTTTTTTATCTGGGATCAATTAGAATAAATGATTGTATTAAAATGACTTTTTTGTAAACTGTCTTGAGATGACATCTGTTGTGCTGTTGGTTCATTGTTCTCATAGCAACTCCACAGCAACTGCCTACCAAGATGGCTGTCAGTTACAGAGTTATCAGTGTGACATCACAGGAGAAGTGAACTTAACGCACTGATTGATGATTCTCATCCAGTCAATTGGAATGGATGTGGTTAAACTGAAATGAGTGTTTTTTGTAAAGTGTATCGAGACGATGTTTGTTGTGAAATTTTGCTAATAAAAGAAACTTTTTAGGCTCAACTGCAACCAGTTCACAAGCAATCCTGATCCACCGTGTAACATTAGGAACAATAATCAAATGAGCAAATATCCATCTGCTGCAGATCGATATTTAATCTGCTGCAGATCGATATTTAATCTGCTGCAGATCGATATTTAATCTGTTGCAGATCGATATTTAATCTGTTGCAGATCTGCCAGTGCACAGCAATCTTTTGTCAAAATCTAAGATCTGGAATTATTTTCCAGATTTGTACAAACACTGTAAAAACTCAGCAAGTCATGCTGAACTCGTTCTGCTCTTTACCTTTTGGCATCTTCTGCAGCAGCCTGAAGAGGGGACTCGCCTGGATGAGGCGCCGGGCCGTGAAGAAGTGCATGGAGGGAGGAAAGTCTTTCCTGGACATCTCGTCCTGCTTCAGTTTGGCCAGCAGAGCGTCCAGCCGCTGCTCGGCCTCCGTCAGCACCATCCCGCCGCCCGTCTGCATGGACTCCTCCAGCTCCATCAGCTCCTTCCGCAGCCTGGGGTCCGGGCCGCACCGCACCCCAACCAGGCAGCACAGAAACAGGCCACCGCCACCAGGGGGCGCTGCAGCCGGCCTGCCATCCCCTGACAACTGGAGAGAAAAATTCAAATATATAACAAAAATTTTTGTATTTATTGAAGCATTTCAGAGTCAAACACATATTTAGCTTTAACCCACCAGAAGCTCCAAACATTTTCACTCATCAGCCTCCTGTTGTTAATTTGTCTATTTAATGTCTATTTTAGTTTCAGTTAACTTTTTTAATCTGTGGTTAAGAGAAAAATAAGTAGTGAGTAATAAGACTTTCTAAACGAGACATTGCTTTTATCTGGAGAAAACAAGATAAATATGTTGCACCAATGAAACGTTTTGTTATGTTTACTGTTACAATGACAAAAACAGTTCTATTCCAGGATTTCATTAAAATGTTACATTTATCTATCCACAGTACTATTTTCAACCTTTTCCTTTCACTGAACTTTCCTTTCCTGTGCATGGATACAGCTCTCTGAACAGTCACTGCTGTTTGCTAATATTCTGATCATTTTGTTGTGTGGAGCCACAAAAGTCATGAATAATTAAAATGAGTTAATTCAAATCAATCAAATTGTATTTGTATAGCACATTTCAGCAGCAAGGCATTTCAAACTGCTTTACATCATAAGAACACAAAGTCATAGAATCAACAATCAAACAGTCATCAGTAATTAGAACTGATTACGTTTCTAAAGCAGCTTAACCTGCTGAGTTTAGTCCACATTTAAAGGAAGTCAGGGTTTCAGCTGATTAACAGTTTTCTGGAAGTTTGTTCCAGATTTTTGGTGCATAGAAGCTGAAAGCGGCTTCTCCTCTCTTGGTTCTGGTTCCCAGAACCAGAACCTGAGAGTCTGGAAGGTTGATACAACAACAGCAGATCTTTGATGTATTGTGGTGCTAAACCGGTTATTATTATTATTATCATTAATAATTATTATTATAATTATCACTATTATGAATAATAATAATTCTTTTTTCTGAAGGTCGGGTCACATCAGTGGGTTTTATTGATAAAATTGATCAAAATGTCTGCATAACAGCAACAGCAGCAGAAGCAAACAGAACAGCTGCTCGTGTTGCAGATCTGAAAATAGTCGCTTTGCATAACAGCGTTTTTTCCTCACAAGTCGGAAACAAGCAGCTTAAACACAGAATCAGCCGATAATTAACACGTTCAGAAGCTGTAAAGCTCTTAAAGGCGCAGGAAAACGTCGCTGTTTACAGACACAAAGGGGATAAATGTGACATTACCTGGTTGCTCCTTTCGGGCAGCAGGTGGAGGAACGAAGCTCCGCAGGTCGTTTCGCTCCAGCTGTGGGTCACTTCGGCAGTAAGGAGGACTGACCCACGGACACGGACGAAGCGGTTTTCACCGCTTTCTGACGAGCTGTCACAAATAAACTCGCTGCTAAACCCACAGCGGGCAGAACCTTCGCCCTGAGCGCTGACTTGCAGGCACAAAGCCCCGCCTACTGTGCTGTGATTGGCTGAATTAGGACGTTCCTCGCTATTTAATTGGTTCATCTGATGTATAAAAAGACAACGGAAAGACGAGAAAAAGGAAATCATTTTTGAAAATTACTTTTGTTTTGGTGGGTTTTAAAATAAATAAAACTGAAAAAATGTTTGACATAAAGAGGATAGAAACTTTTTTTAGCACCTGAATGTATCAATTTTGATTTTTGTCCAGTTTAAACCGATTTAAACTGGACATTTTTACCCACTAAGAGCCGCTGTGACCCGATCTTCTGAAAAAAGAATATTTATAATTAATAAATTGGAAATATTTTTTTTAAAGAACCAACAGTTTATTTCTGTCCTTAGGTTTTAGAATAAACACCAATGTTTTGCAAAAGGAGGATGAGACATTTTCTTTGTGATGTTACTGGAAAATTATGTAAAATCAAAAATATCAGTTTCCAACTTTTCAGAAAATACAAAATCTGCATTTCTTATCAGGGCAGTGTTACAAGTGGTTACATTTGCTTGATTAACTTTAAGCTTAGGAGTGTCTAAATCCTTTTGAGAAATATTATCGTCAAGTATGACTTTATTGAAAGAACAAAGTTATTTTAAAAACATTTTAGAATTCTAATAAACAAAATGTGTTAAGTTTTATATATTTTTGATTATGACGGATATTTAGAATTGTGGGCTACAAAAAGGTTTTCACTTCTGTTTTCTGTTACAGTCTTGTGCATATATTATTATTAATCTTGTTTTTTGATCACATAAAAACCCTTTCTCTTAACTTTTGGGTTTTTGTGTGAACCTTTTCATCCGTTTCTGCTGACACAACTTTTTCTGTCGTGTCAGCAGAAATCCGTTTTTCAGGACAATAAAGGTTGTTTCTATTTCTTTTTCTGTTGCCGTGTAAACACTGAACATTTCAATGTGTTCTAGGACTTTTGTGGGTCACCTGCAGATCGACCTGGACATGGATGTCCACCTGCCCGACAGGCTGAGGACGCACGGAGCATTTAGAGCGATCAGCTGGAAAAAGCTCAGTTTGAAGCTAAATAGAAAATATTTAGCTGTGAACATACTTAGCTTGCTTACAAACTCTTCACCTTCCTAATTAAACTTCAAACTAAATATTAGCTTGCTAACTAAATCTAGAGCTAAGTATTTAGTTAGCAAGCTAAATCTTTGGCCTAAAACTAAATATTTAACTTGTAAACCAAATACTTAGCTTCAAACTATTTAGCAAATATTTTACATTTGTAGCTTTAGCTTGCCAATTACATATTCAGTTTGAAACTGAAATTAAATGAATGAATAAAATGTTGAAAAAAATGACATTTCTTTCCTCTTATGACAAAATTACTGGTGTTAAATTTTGAGTCTTTACAAACCACATCCTCACGTTGAGAAGCTCCAAAGGAGAAAGTTTCTGCAACATTGTGGTCAACACTACAGAAAACTGCAAAAACAGATAAAACAAACTCTGAGTTGAGAAACGTTATTTATTTCTAAGACAGTATAGAAAATAATCCATTCCATTCCCCAAATAATCCGTGTCAGTCAGATAAGAACATGTAACTCCACTTTAAAAACAAAAAGGTACAAGACTTTATCCCCTCCTCCCAAAGCCGCCAAAGGACGACGGATTAAAAATGTCACAGGAAAAAAGTTACATTAAAACAAGTCCAAAAATGTACAAAATTCTTAAAAGAGCAAATAAATATGATTCACATTTAATCACGTCTAAATGGGTTTGTCACTAGTGCAGAGATGACAGAAGAGGGAGAATCGGTTCCAGTCAACTGGCGGCCAGTACACACACACACACACACACACACACACACACACACACACACACACACACACACACAACACACACACACACACACACACACGCAAGTACACACACACACACACAAACACACACACACGCAAGTACACACACACACACACGCAAGTACACACACAAACATACACACACACGCAAGTACACACACGCAAGTACACACACAAACATACACACACGCAAGTACACACACAAACACACACACACGCAAGTACACACACAAACACACACACACGCAAGTACACACACAAACACACACACGCAAGTACACACACACACACACACACACACACACACAAACACACGCAAGTACACACACACACACGCAAGTACACACACACACAGTACACACACACACACGAACACACACGCAAGTACACACACACACGCAAGTACACACACACACACACACACACGCAAGTACACACACACACACACACAAAGTACACACACACAAACACACACACGCAAGTACACACACACACACACGCAAGTACACACACACACACACCCCTACACACACACACACACACACACGCAAGTACACACACACACAAACACAAGTACACACACACACAAACCTGTTTGAATGCTACCTGCTATTTTCATTTCACTACTTTGATAAAATGTTGAGGAAAATTCTCTGCAGTGTTTCCAGACGTCGCATTAATGAAACGACGTGGGTTCAAATGGACTGCGAACAGACTGGAACCAGATTTCCCATCATGCATTGGGACTTAGAAGAGATGGTACACTGCTGGGGGAGTCTGGGAGGAGAAGAAATGTACGCCAGCCAGCAGCTAGATGAGGTAGATTCAGATCATTACTAAACTGCACTAAAGACTAAACCGCCACGAGTCACAACAAAAAGCCATAAAACTAGAATTATTATTTATTTTTATTCAAAATGACTTAAAACCAGATGAAGAGGAAAGCAGAATAAGAATTAGAAGAAACTAAAACACATTTATTAAAAAAACAAGAAGAAAGTCGGCCGGTTGGGGATAGAAGTTTCGACGTGCTGCTCCTTCCTCGAATGATTCACAAAAATACCCGTAATCTGAATCTGTACACCCTGAGGAGAACCTGACCACTAACAGCAGGAGGAGGAGGACACCTGAAACTCTGAACACAAGAAGCTTCGTTTTGTGCTGCATGTCTGATGGATGCGTGTGCAGCGTACCGGCGGGACCTCAGTAGTACAGGACGGATATGCAATCATTTCAGAGGTTCTGAGGAAGGCCACTCAGTTCTGGGGAATCTGGACTGACTGAACTCATAGTGCATAACAGAGAATCACGGAAGCAACCGCTTCCTGTCAGGACATTCGTAAAATCAAGGCAGCGCTGAATGGTGCATACTGAAGTTTAGAGACGCTTTTAGAGTTATGGGTAGAAACAGAGGCAGGAATCAGAGTCCCTACATGTGCAACTGCGGAGCTGCGCTTGTCGTCTCAAAGGTTAACTTTACATTCACAGAGAGGAAGAAGGCATCAGCAGGCGGCCGCTCAGGACCCGCCTCTCCTACACCTCTACACCTGAGATTAAGAGACGACCTGCGGCTGCCCGGCGTCCCTGAAGGCGGCGTCCCTGAAGGCGGCGTCCCTGAAGGCGGCGTCCCCGGCGCTGGTCAGGTTGATCTAGTGGTTAAAGAGGTTCCCTTCGTTCCAGGATAAAAGCTTCAGCGTAGGAAGAAAGAGTCAGGAGGAAGAGGTTTGATCTCTGAGGCTCAAAACTATTTCACATTTTATTCTGCTGCGGCAGCTGGTCGGTTGGAGCCTCCCAGCAGGAAACAGCGGCGCCCACTGGGACGGACTTCCCGTCTGTCCCAGCAGGTTGTTGAGTCCGTACCTGAAAGGCAAGAATGAAGGTCAGTTAAAGGTCAACTTCAGCAGGTGTTTATAAATTAAAACGAGTCATTTCCTCCATAAATCTCCAGATTGTCGTCAGGTTTTCTACTCACTTTGATATTCAGATTTTTACTGTCCTTGTTTCGCTCCAGCACCTCCAGGAGTCGCCATCATCTGCTGCCTGGAACCATGTGAACTTTGATTAGGACCTTTTGCTCCAGCAAAACAAGCTGCACATTAAAACATTAAAAGTCACTTTAATAAACTCAAGTCACACCTAGATTTGCTTCTGATTGGTTGATCAGTCCCTCATGTCGACTCCAGGAAGCTGGAGCTACCAAGAGGAGGTCTGTCTAGAATCCTGGACCCGACCGAGCCAGAACCAGAACCAGCCACCCAGTTCAAACTTCTGCTTCAACCTTTTTGTTCAAAGCACTTCACCTGGTTTAAACCTAAACTGTGACTAGCAAACAACTTAACGGAACATTACCGCCCCCTGCTGGTGAGAAGTTTGGACTGAACGTCATCAAGACAGCAAAACTTTCCATCATCTCAAAACCAGAATGTTTCTATATTCCAGTCTCGTCTTGCTGAACCAATCATTGAATCCACACAGATTTAAGGAAAGTAAATCATGGTGAAACTAAAATTACATTAATTGCGACTCAGAATCAACATGTTTGATATCGCTTTATTAAAATCCCATCACTGTTGTGATGCTCAACAATTTCATATTAACTATTATTAATGTGGCAATAAACTGAGTTGTGATTGGCTCTTGTGTAAAGTTGTTTTTATCTGGCCTTCCTGCGTAACTGTCCCGATGAGACGGGCGTCACCGAGGTCCGACCAGGGCACCTGGACCTTACTGGGCCTCACCTGGACCTTACTGGGCCTTCCTGGGCCTCACCTGGACCTTACTGGGCCTCACCTGGGCCTTACTGGGCCTCACCTGGGCCTTACTGGGCCTCACCTAGGCCTTACTGGGCCTTACTGGGGCCTTACTGGGCCTCACCTGGACCTTACTGGGCCTCACCTAGGCCTTACTGGGCCTCACCTGGACCTTACTGGGGCCTTACTGGGCCTCACCTGGGCCTTACTGGGCCTCACCTGGACCTTACTGGGCCTCACCTGGGCCTTACTGGGCCTCACCTGGACCTTACTGGGCCTCACCTGGACCTTACTGGGGCCTTACTGGGGCCAATTGACAGAAGTAATGAAAGTTTCAGAAGGAATAAAACCAATTTACTTAAATCTCTGAAACCCTCAGAATGTAGAGGAAGCATATTAGTTACCCC